AATAAAAACCAATTATATTTAATAGGAAGATAAATATCATAGTTTTAATTATGAACTTTATTATTTGTTATTTTTTTTCATAGATAATTAAATTAATGAGATAATAAATGGCAGATAAAGGACGTAAAACTAATTTGAATTTTTTTTTAAATAAAAAGTTGTATGTATTCTCTATACATTTCTTTCAAACCCGACTCAACTACTTGAATCTAATCAAAACCAGGAAAAATATATTGTTTTAAGAAGAGTTTTTCGGTAAAAATTTCTGACAGATATCAAACCCACTGTATAAAAGCATAGTTGGTTTCAAATTTTATTTAATTTGATTATTTTACATTAGTAAATTGTGTAAACTTTTTTTTTTTTAATTTTCTTAACAGATATTTTGTATATGATTAAAAAAAAACTTGATGTAAAGTATGAACTTCAATTTATGATTCTGGCCATGTTTCTAATATGCCTTCCATTTCCTTCACGTATAGCAGTTTCTAATTCTTGAACGAGATGCATCAGATTATTTGGATCTGTTTGTAGTAGAACATGTTCAATTTTGTCAGAGTTTGAAGTATTTTTCAACGACAAATCTAAAGTTACTAACGGTACAACTTGTTGCTGCATTGATCTTGATGCAATCTAAATATGTATAATAATTATAAAAATAATGCGATTCCCCATTTCTTTTCCAGTCAAAAGATATTTATCTGTAATTTGTTAATTACCTGAGTTTCAAATCTCCATTCTAAATTATGATATTGCGGTAATTTCATATCAAAGTTAGAAAGAACATCAGTCAATTCTTGTTTTTTTACGGAATAAACCTTGTACAATAAGATCTCTTGCTCTTCTGAAAAGCCTACGTCGAGAACAGTTTCTTTGAAATCGTCTTTTTCAAGCTGTAAAAAAATGTTGTTCACATTAAAAATACAACAAAAAAAAAAAAAAGGAATGTTTTCAACTTTTACCTTGGCCTTGGAACATTCTACTATAAAGTTTACAAGAGCTTCCACAGAGTTCCTTATGATTTGTGGCTCCACTTGTAATTTTTCTGTATTTACCAATAAAATTTGTTATTAGTTAAAATTAAATTGATATGAAATTTTACTAAGAAAGTAAAAATATTTTTTATTTATTACGTTTCATGTTCAATGGCATATTACTTATAATAAGTAAAATACAGTTCTCCTGCAACTTTAGTTTAACAAATTTCTATTGTCTACCAGAAATTTGTTTTACAATGCATTGATCAATAAAACTTATTTATGTTACGATTAATTATCAAAATGAAGTGTTAACTACTTTTCAAACTTTAAACGTCCCAACATCAACTACAGTGTTTTGTAAAGTACATACGTGCAGCGGCACTGTACAGCTTCATATTTGGTCCTTTTTGTAGATAATCGAGCATCAGCTTACAAAAATCTTGCAGAACTAAAAGTTTCACGAAAAAAAAAATGAAATTATTTAGCGTTGAGGTCTGTTGAAAACATAAACATTCATCAGTTGAAAGGTTATGTTCTGCACTACCTTGAGTAGATTGCTTGGTAAGGAAGACCAAACGCTCCTTAAGTTCACCACTTAATTCTAATGTCATCGTGATGTGTGTATTGTTATTTTATGGGATCACTTGGAGTTAACTGAATGTTAAAAATGACTAACTTTAATATGACAGCTTCGAATCACTAAACGTCGTAAACACAAACGTTGACGTATATATATATGCATATGTAAATATAGTTGGTGTCAACAGCTGATATTAGCAGACGACACTACGAGCATATCCGCGCTTTGGCGGCGGTATATAAAGGCGCGGGAGTCGGAAATAATTTTCTTATATATAATTTTGTTTACTTTACTTTGTACATACGATACGTATTAGTTGACTATTTTGCGTTAGTTTAATAATTTCAACACAAAAAAATGCCGCAAGAAGCGTGGGTGCTAAAGTGTTACTCTTGTAATAAATTTCAGGTGAATCAAGAAGTCTCTTATTCTGCACCAATGAAAGGAGTGTTGATTGTTAATGTCGTTTTATTTAAATTTTATATAGGTTCAACTCAAGAAAAAGGCAAAAAAGTGGCAATGCAAAGTTTGCGGAGCAAAGCAAGATCTGATGACCGTAAGTAAGGCTGTAAACTTTATTTACATTTTCATAACCAAAGTTTTCAAGATTATGAGAATCAAAGTAACATAAAATTAGTTGTTAGAAGCTTGATATTTCGATACTTTTTTCTTTACAGATTTTTTACCAAGGATCACCTAGTGATTGTAGAGTGAATGTTCAAAAAATCAATACCGTGGAGGGAGAAAAGCAGGACAAGTTACTAGAACAGTCAAGTTTTCCAAATCAAAGTTGCAGAGAATACACAAGTGTTTCCCAAAGTTCACAAAATTGTGATGACTTTTTGTGTGGTAATGACGAAGACTTTGACGATGAAGTCATGTCAGAACTAGATCAAAGATGTAATGAAGTTGAAGAAACTTATTCTCAAGAAATAATTCAATCACAAGAATGTGAAGAAAGTTGTGAAAGTGATACATTAAAATGTGAGCAGCAATACTGTGAAAATGTAAATAATGTTGAGATTAACCAAAAAGAAAACATCATCCATGCAAACTTGAGTGATTTCAAAGATGATAGTTGTGTTTCCATGGATCAAAAACAAGAAGTAAAATGTAATATTTTTGAAACTAATGGAGATTTCGATGAATCTCTTGATTTTTGATAGTTGAATTTTTGTAGGAATACAGATAAGTGATATAAAGTTGTATGAATTTAAATATTTTCAATGATTATTTTTTCTTTTATTTTACGTAATAAAAACAGTACAATCATTATTGAGAGAATAAAACGATAAAAAAAAGTTTTTGGTAATTCTGAAGCATTTTTTTTGCCTATAATACTACAATCTAATACATTTTCGAAAAATACAAATAATACAACTGACACTTTTGGTTACACACTCGCGGGGTAAATACATACATTAAATCTTTAGCAGTAAAAAGTTAAAATAATTTCTCTGACTTTTAATTAATGTTGGAGTTATATTTAGTCAGGATAATCTTTTTTTTTCCAAGCATATGTAGCTCGCCTATTACACTTGACTCAATACAATAATAAAATAATTTAACAATAATGCATAAATATTTTTTAACAATGCTTTATCTTCGTCAAATGAACAGCACATTTGTGTATAATAAAAGAGACATTAATGTAATTTTGTGTGTTAATCGGTTTTTTTAAGAATCAAAAGTACAAGAAAATGATTGAGTTATCTGATACCAATGTAACTTGGTTGGCAGTGGTGGATTGTATAATTATCTCAACCCACTGTAAATATTCCCATTCAACGAAATTTTTTTTCATTGTTTTGACACACCAGTGAATTATAATACTTGAGTCCAATTAATTACGTTGCACTAAAAATTGCGCTTTTCAGTAGATTTATTTTTTCCCACTAAATAAGAGTATTTTTGGTCCAACCAAATAGAGAATTCGTAAAGTAATGTTAATTGGCAGCAGGAAGCTGTATTTTTTATTTATATTATACAGCAATGGGCAGCATTAAATGCTTATTTTACTCTTTGAAACGATTCTTTAAACTAAGATTTTACTTCCTTGCATTCTTGATTGTCAAGATAGTTTGCAAAAGTTGCCGTATATATTTTACGAATTGCCTAATTAAATTAAAATATAAATAAGTTAAATTATATATTAAAAATCTTTTCAATAAATAAAAATTTGCCCATCTCTGCACGTTGATGCTTAAAAAAACGCATTGAACCTTATTAATTATATCACGCGTACAAAAATGAAAGAATTACAAGATTGAAAAAAAAAAGTTTTTTTTTTAAATCATTGAATTGTCGACTAAATATGAGAAAAAAAAAAAAAAATTACATACAAGCATCGATTGCTAAAAGAAGTATCAGAACCAGCTGTAAATTAACCACAGTGTACACTATGCACTAAATGCTACGTATCAGTATTTGTTTACTAATTTTTACTTCCGATAAAGATTGAATAAGTTTTTTTAAGCAGTAATTTTCATTTTCACGAGTTCACGTACATTGTCTACCTAAGGATTACAAAAATCATAGAGACGCCCTCGATTGTTTAGCTTGTTTATCGCGATTGGCAAAAAGCTCTTGTGATTTTTGCAAAAACTCGCGCTTTATTTTCTAAATCAATCATAAAGCAAACATTAAATAAAGACCAGTGTTTCACCGACGATTATCTATGTATACTTGCAACGGAAGTGAAACAAAATCGACGATTACTTCAAATATTGGGTATAATAACGCATATATATATAGATCTGCAGTTGGAACAGTCGTCTACGCGTGATGTCGGTGCCGCCTCAGGACGGGCGTGTTCTCGTGACTTCTCCTGTTGCTTTGCCAGCTCCGGGAGTGCCGATTCCAAGAGCTGAAATTAAAAAAAAATAAAAATTTAATACTGAATTATTATAATTATACATTTATTGAAGGTATGTATTACTTGTACGGCCACTTCTTGCTTCGCCTTCTGTGCTGAGAATAAAGTAGTTCGCTGTCGCTGTATATTTGCAAAGCTGACGGGACAAACATCTCATCTGAATGAAAAATCATTAGAGGTCAATGGGTAGTGTTTGCAGTTTTGATATTAAATCAGTTATATATATTTATGATTACCAAACGTGTCGGAGTACTTCCTCTTCGACATGGATCGTGGCTGTTGCTGCTGGATTTGTTCTCTGGCGACCTCCTTGGCGCTGCCTACCGTGCAGTCTTGCGTGCCTCGGCAACGTTTCAGGTGCTCCAGTTGATCGTGAAGATATGACTTTTCAAGCGCCGTCAGCGAAGACGCTCTGTTCCATTGCTCGAAAGGATCTACGCGTGTGAAAATAATCGAAAAACATCGGTTGAAAAGGTAGCTTACATAAGTACAACTCTCGTGTATAATCTAAGCAAAAATTATCTCATTTACTTAATTAATTATTTTAAAAAAAGGCAACAAAAAAAAAACTCATAATAAATCGTAAAGTCCAGTTTTAAAACTGGAATAATAATCATCTTTTAAATAGTTATCATTAATTGTTTTTTTTTATTCTGTGAAAATTAAATTGAAAAAAGTGATTTTATTCCGTTGTTAAATAACGATGATACACAATTTTTATTAACAATTAATTATAGTTTATAGAAATTTTTATCAGTTACTTAAAAATTTTACATGGCTTGATAAGTAACAATAATATTATAAACTATAACTTTTAATTAGTTATAATTCATAGGAGTTATTACCACATAACGAACCAATCAAAGCTTCAATGTCA